TGAAAAGCAGTGGCAGTGTACAAACAGTCAAAAGTGTAGAGTGAACATTCACTATCTTTATCCCAATTTGACTTGACTTAAGTTCTTAGGACTAAGCAGCATCTCTTGAGTAAGTTGATAAAGCTGAGCACCAACAACTGACTCTGATTGACCGTTAAAGCTACATGCTAACATCTCGATCATCAAGTGACACTGTCATTGGATAATCAAGACTCTCTACACTTTTAGGAATATTCACCCTCTACATCTTCTATTCTTCACGCAACATGTTCAGCTCTCAAACTTAGGTAACATTTTCAGAATACAACTAACTATTGATTTTGTATTCATAGGAATACACCAATGTAGAGCCAAGTTCACATACATGCTGGATATAAGTTCACATAGAGCCTGGATATGGGAAAGCAAGACAGATGGTCAGAGGCATGGTCCGAGTTAAAGAAACAAGTTCATGTACATGCTAGAAATGAGAAAGCAAGACAAAGAGGGTCAGAAGCATGGTTACAGTCAAATACAAGTTCACTTACACACTGCACGTACTCCCTGGAAACAAGAAGGCAAGACATGGTCAGAAGCATGAATCAACAAGTTCACATACTTTCTGGAAACAAGAGAGCAAGACACATGGTCAGAAGCATGGTCAGAGTCAAATCAAGAAGTTCACATACATCCTGGAAACAAGAAAGCAAGACACATAGTCAGAAGCATGGCCAGAGTCAAATTAACAAGTTCACATACCCACTGGAAACAAAAAAGCAAGACACATGGTCAGCAGCATGGCCAGAGTCAAATCAAGAAGTTCACATACATCCTGGAAACAAGAAAGCAAGACACATAGTCAGAAGCATGGCCAGAGTGAAATCAACAAGTTCACATACCATCCTGGAAACAAGAAAGCAAGACACATGGTCAGAAGCATGGCCAGAGTGAAATCAACAAGTTCACATACTTTCTGGAAACAAGAAAGCAAGACACATGGTCAGAAGTATAGTCAGAGTCAAATTAACAAGCTCACCCACCTTCCTGGAAACAAGAAAACAAGACACATGGTCAGAAGCATGGTCAGAGTCAAATCAAGAAGTTCACATACCATCCTGGAAACAAGACAAGCAAGACTCATAGTCAGAAGCATGGCCAGAGTCAAATTAACAAGTTCACATACCCACTGGAAACAAGAAAGCAAGACACATGGTCAGCAGCATGGCCAGAGTGAAATCAAGAAGTTCACATACTTTCTGGAAACAAGAGAGCAAGACACATAGTCAGAAGCATGGCCAGAGTGAAATCAACAAGTTCACATACCATCCTGGAAACAAGAAAGCAAGACACATGGTCAGAAGCATGGCCAGAGTGAAATCAACAAGTTCACATACTTTCTGGAAACAAGAAAGCAAGACACATGGTCAGAGTCAAAATTAACAAGCTCACCCACCTTCCTGGAAACAAGAAAACAAGACACATGGTCAGAACCATGGCCAGAGTCAAATCAACAAGTTCACATACTTTCTGGAAACAAGAAAGAAAGACACATGGTCAGCAGCATGGGCCAGAGTCAAATCAAGAAGTTCACATACAAACTGGAAATGAGAAAGCAAGACACATAGTCAGAAGCATAGTCAGAGTCAAAGTAACAAGTTCACATACCCACTGGACACAAGAAAGAAAGACACA